CCCTATGTCAACTTACCAGTGTGCCTCATATAATGTGGCATAATGGATAAAAGCTAAAGCCAATTCATGGGCAGACCAATATTATCGGCTGATATCCGATGTTTAAGTCTGATGTCATTACCCGTTTTCGGGTCCAAACTCTGCTTCAGGTACCAAAGTCAAACAAACACTGTGGCATCACTGAGAGTTACAAACTGTATAAATTCTTTCATCTTTAATAAAATAATCAGTGTTGCTGCTTTACCAGGTGTAACAATTAAGTTTAAAATCCAGGCATCCATGAAAACAGAATTTATGAAGTTTAATGGAGTTAGATGTTAGCAGGGCGTTAGCTCGCTAGTTTCCACCTAAACATAATATACTATTGTCTGACTGAGTGATTTCTGAAAAAATTAAAACGTACAGCTCTGCTATCACTTCCAACATAAATGAAGACAGGAAACTAAACAGCAGTGACGTTTGGAGGGTTACTGAAGTTGGGCTAGCTGGTATATAATGATGTGCTACGTGGTGGCTAGCTATGGCTAGCATAATATAAACACATTAGCACAGTGAAGCTGGAGGATGAACGCTAACTTTGTTTCCACTAAACGGTCCAATCTTCAGTCAGGAGAACAACTGAGATAATTCATCCACAATACAAGGTTAGTCGTCAATATATTGCTGCCTGGGCTGGGCTGTAGTTATCTGTCTGTGAAGGTTCTCAGTCAAAGATGGTTGTTTACAGTGGACATTGATAGCTTCTTTCACTCCTCATTCAAAGGTTTTAAAAACACAACCGCTTTAATAACCGAAGAGTAGTTCCAGACAATTACACTGTTGTCTAACTATCTCTCTTCTATTAATGCATTAGTGTAATACAACCAAGGTATGTGGGATCCACTTGGACAGGCAACCAGGTAGCAAACTGGACATTGTCTAAAACATCATTGATAAGATAAGATAACCTTTATTAGTCCCACACGTGGGAAATTTGTTTTGTTACAGCAGAAAGTGGACAGTGCAAAGTTATATAGCAAAAATTAGTGAACACTGGAATAGAATAAGAATAAGATACTGTACACAACTGTAATTGAAGACAGTATATAGCATAAACAAAGCAAGCATAATGAAAGAGCTGTCCCCAACACACACGGGGGTGTTGAGGTGGCAGATTTTTAAATCACCAAATATTGTTTCGCTGTCGGTTTTAAAACTCCTACATCAGTCAGATTCTGACAGATTCAGTCATTTAAAAGCAATCTCACTTAAATGTGATGTATAACACTGCTGGATCATTTGTCCATGATTTTGTTAAAACCTACTGCTCTATTCCACGATCTCAGATAAGCATAACAGCGTTTACTTATTTCAGGAGTCCTCTTCACGCCCTTCAGGTTTTGTATATTCCAGCTTTGTCCCTTTGAGTGTTTTTCACGAGTCACTAATAAAAAATCACTTCCATAAAGGATAGAGCTGTGCAGCTTCAATCATAGCTCCTCCTGTGAGACTCATCTCTCCTCACTCCTCCATCCTCTGGGTGTATTTTAGGATTTGAGACATCCTTCATGAGGATATGCTGAGATGGATTTCCAGTTCACAGGTAGGAGGACAGAGGGAACTGAGAGAGGAATCAAAAGAGCTACTTTGGTTGCCGTTGTCCGATTGTATTCTTTTCTTGGGAAACGTTGATTTGATCCCGAGTGTGTGTGTACTCCTATATGTCTCTCGGTCAGGAAAAGCCAAAACAAGTCTATAATTGCCTACTCCTACAAAAATACTGTGTAGTCTGATCCCAGCATAGTGGTTGTCAAAGTTTGTAGATAGCAGTCTTTATGTATGTAGTGAATGACTAGTGAAAGTACTTCAACTCAGCTTGTAGAAGTAGTGGAGCCTAAATGACCATCATTTTATTATTCATTATAGGTATCTGATAACCCGTCTCTTCTGCTGAGCTCGCCCATCCTTGGAGCCTCTGTGCTGGCTCATGCTGCAGCAGGGGGATCCTGCTCTGCAGAGCACCAGGTCCACTTCCTTCAGAAACAACTGCAGCAGCAGGAACAACAAGCACTAGCAGCTTCAGCGCAGGTAATTTTCCCCTTCTGGAACCTCAAAGAAGATATTTTCACCTTTTAAGTTTGTGTGAGTCTCTTCATGGGAAAATGTGTTCATGGAAAATTTTACCGTAGTGCAAACTTCCACAACGGCAGTTTTGAGTATAGCAGCTGTTTATGTGTGTCTGCCTGTCTGTGGACAGATCTTGTCAGCGCGATGGTGTTGAAACCACGCAAGGTAGAGCCATTAAAACGTCACGGAAGTGCAGTCGAGATCGAAATGAAGCTTGCATTTAAAAAGGGGTGTGTTCCGACCCATAAGTGCTGAGTAAATGAAGCTAAAAATATCCACGAGTATTTTTAAAGCAGGTGATCTCATGCCACTGTGACGCTATCGCACAATTTTTTTCTTCTCTTCCTTTTTGTGATGAAACTCTCACTAACTGTATTGATGCACACAGGGTTTTTTTTTCTTTTTTGTGCACTGAATCATCAGCTGTGATTCATTTAATAAAAAATCACAAGCCTTGAAGAATTCACCTGCCTGTGTGCATACCAGCATCAGTTGTTTTAACCCTTTAAAGCCGAAACCCTGAAATAATTGGCAGAAAAATTGTAATTTGTTGAAAGTGGAGTGGTTATTGAACCTTCTGGACATTTTTTTAAAGAAAAAGATTTGCATTTATGAGTCTTCATTCTGGGTTATGTAGAGGTATATGTCTAAAATATGATCTGCTTGATGTTACGGGGTTAAAATATGCTCAATAATGAAATGTGCTTTACTTAATGTAACTGAGCAAAGGCTGTTTGACACAAAACTTCCTGATCACATAAAAAAATTATCAAAACCTCCCAGGAAACAGGACATGAGTATCTGTATTTATGATTATGAAATTCACAGAGCGCTTTCAGACACTAAACCTTTACATAAACTTTGAACAGTTTCAGGTAACACTTAATATTCCCGGGCAGTGGCATTTAAAAGTTGTATGTCTGTGTGTGTGTTTAGGTAAATGTTTTGCAGGAACAGCTGTCGGTGGAGTTGTGTGCTCGGACTGAAGCCCAGGCCAGAGTGCAGAGGCTGCTGCAGCAGAACACAGACCTGCTGCAGCACATTTCCCTGTTGGTCAAACAGATCCAGGAGCTGGAGCTCAAAGCTGCGGGCCAGTTAACATCCAGTGAGTGGCTAATACACTTTTGTAATTGACTTTCCACTCAGATCATTTTCTCCTTTAAAGTGTAGTGTAGATTTTTATTTGGCTGCCTTTAATCTTCCTGTTTACCTCCGATCTAATCTGTAATAAAAACGTTACAATTTCTCCCTATTTTTCTTTACTTTTAATTAGTTTCTTTCTTTCCCATTGCGCTCATGTTCTTGTACTCCGTTTTCTCTCCTGCTTCTGGCACACAGTTAATTATACTATGACAGCCCTCTTAGAGGGTACCGCTCCCCGTTCTCCCGTTCCAGCACAGACGTCATCCCACTCTTTGTAATCTCAGCTTTGACCAGTCCCCTCTTCTTACATGTTCTGCATCTCTGTTTATATGTGATAATGTAATATCTTTTGTTCTTTGCTTAATCCATTATAAATATGTCATATTTGATCTCTTCTCATTTCTGTTTTCCACAGTGGGTTCCCAGGACAGTCTTCTGGAGATCACATTTCGTGCAAAGCCTCCCGGCGTTCCTCATGAACCCCCCACCCCTTCCTCATCTACAGGCCTGTTAGCAGCTCAGTCCCAGCTTCAGATTAGCAATAGTGCCTGGGTCTCTGTCCTGCCCAGGTCTTGCTCTCCAGGCACCATGGGCGCTGACACCATCCCCTCGGGGCTTAGCAGCAGCGGAGTTAGGCTCGAGTGCTTCCGCTTTGCTTCCCGAGCGGCAGACAGCCAGGAACAGGGACAGGACACAGGGGAGACTCCCAGCGACGGGGCCCCCGATGAAAGCTCGCTGCTGGGGGAGCAGGTCCTGGGAGCCCTGGAGTTGCTTCGTTTCAGGGAATCTGGGATTGGATCAGAGTACGAATCAAACACAGATGAGAGCGATGACCGGGACAGCTGGGGCCAGGGGGAGGGAGCGGGGGCCGACGGAGGAGCCCGACTTTTAAATGTGCTGAATGCAGAGAGTCTGCCAGACTGCTTGGGAGATGAAATGGCTGTTTAGTGGTGCTGTGAAAGCTGCACTAGGCAACTTTGAATCTATGTAAAAGCCCAATGGGAAATAAGTAAAATTCAGAATCTGAAATTATCTGTATAACGTGACAGAAAACTGCATAATCTGCAGGAATAAATTGCTTGTCGCGCTCACTCACCGCTGTCCTGGCAAAAGTTTGACATTTTTTGCCCTTTTGATTTGCACAGCTTAAGAAAATGTCCGTCTGGTTCACTGGTAGCTCTGTGGATTGTTATTTCTTGCTATTATGTAGTTAATATGTCACATTTCTGCAACACAGAAAAATGTAATGCATTACTTTAGAATCCGTGACACCCAACTAGGGCAGTAATATGATAATAATAATAATAATAATAATAATAATAGCAGAAACGTCTTAGAATCAATGAGCATGCTGTTTGCAAATCATCCATATTTTTGTTAATCCTTGGTAACTGCTATATAATAAATTTAGACATCATAATGTCTAAAGCCATGCTAGCTGCTCTATGAGGGTGAGCTAAATGCTATGCTAATATGCACACAAATGCTGTGTCAAAAATTGCTGTACTTCCATAATTACACGTGATCATTTGAGTACATGTTCAGAGTGCACTATAAGTACCCAGCTGATGGACTCAAAAAGTTGAGTGTGGAAAACTACAGTTTACAGTTAAAGTCGTTAAGAATGGAAGGGACTAAGCAAAACACTGCCTGAAAAGTGGAGGTAACTGAGTAGTTTCTCATGCATAAACTGCACCAAACAATTGTGAGTGAAGACTAGTCTGATTTTTCCATGCTTGCTTGACACAGCATGTGAAACCAGTATAAAGTTCAAAATGAATTTTTTTTCACTTTTTTTTATTGTTTCCTAGACTTTAAAAACCTGTAGATTTTTAAAAAATGGATTTCATCTACCCATTTTTGTTTATTTTCCATTAATTTTTAACTAAAAGATGTCAAAATGAGTCTCTTATTTCAAGTACTGTGGTTTAGTGAAAATGGAAATAGATTAATAGCCATTGGTAGCACGCTAGTAAAATTCTGATTCTTCTAGGTTTTAAAAAAACTGTTGATCTGTCACGGTCCACACAGCTTTATCGCCACAGGCCAAATACAGAAAAGGTGCTCGCGTTACTGGGGCAGGTTTCACTGGCTTCCTGGACAGTTTGCGCCTCGAGGCTTGTGTAGGCCTGCTGAGCGAGTGTTTTCCCCTCATGGTCGAGAGGTTTGCTGTTTAAGAATTTCATGGAAAATACTGTGTTTTTCATTTGCAGTTTGTGCACCAGAAACTGTTCATTAAACAAGATTTTTCTGATAGTGAAGTTGAAAAAGCCCCATTGTTCAGTATTGATTGCGTGGCGTTTTTTTTTTGTGTGCAAGCAGTGTGGGAAAAGCCTGCATCTTTATCCGGCGTTTCCCACACTGCGTCACAAATTTGGTAGAAACATTTGTGCTGATGCTAGCTAGCAAGCTGAAAGTGGCATTCTCTGACCTAAGCACTTATATTTGGCACTGTGTGATGTTTAAGTGCTAAACTGTCATCTTCCAATAGAATAATATGTGATTAGAGACTCAACGGATTGGTGTTCACAAAATGTGCCAGCTAGCATGACAGTTGCACTAAAATGCTAATCTGTGCACAACTTGCCATGTTCAAGCAGTTAAAATTCATGTTATGACAGTATGTACATAGTGTATTTCATGTGAGCATATGTTTAAATTCAACCTGAGGCACAAGGGCAATTATTTAGTGTGTTATCATGTTCACAAATTTAACAAGTAGCTTTTAGCTATTATGTTAGCTAATAACTAGCTAAGTTAAACAGTTGAGGCTGGAATAATGTGACTTGTTTATTTGAAGCAGTTCATAAATTTGCCAATTTCTACAAGTTAATATTAATTTTTCAGATTACATTTTTATCAAATCAACACTACATACATGGAGTAACATTACGTACTGTAATCCTCAAAACTAAAATGTACCTTCTGCTTCTCGGCTTCAGTGCAGTGGGACATTTAGCACAGTGCAGCTTCATTCAAACCCTATTAGTCAGTACAAGTGCTGTGGTGTTGCAGGCTGTCTGAAAATCTCTGCTGTGTGTGTGTGTTTGATGATTGTTGTAATGTTTGGTTCCTCGCCTCTGAGAGCCACTCACACGGCTTTTTACACTGTGGTTTGATGACATGTCCAGCATGGACACAGTCATTTTTGCTGTTTTTTCATTACCGTCAAGAAAGAAAAAAGTCTGTTTAAACATGTTGACATAGTTGGCTTTCTTGGGGAGGTTTGAGTGGGGACCTTGCTAACCCTCGCTGTGACACTAGTCTGTAATCTCATATAAGAAATGGGTTTAATAAGCAGCTATACCTCTGAAAGTATGACCTTTTTTTCTGTACATTGTACATAGTAAAGTCTGATTAACTTAGCTATTCTATATATATTCAGCATGATTTTGTTCATAATGGTCTTCGTTCTAATTATGTAGTTAAAGATGATTTTCTCATTTGATTATTCTGTGTGTCAGAGGTGCACATATCACCGGGCAGGTGCTGCTACAGTCTTGTCTATGCTGTTAAAAACTGTAGTCGCTCCATACTGTAGGGATAATTCATTAATGCCGTATTGCGGCAGTGATAACCTGCTGTGTCACTGTTGCAACACCCTTTAAAGAAATTGTTATGAAAATGACCTCAAAGTACAAATTCCAAAAAATATGTGATCTAAAAGACTTCTGGACGCCTTCATATTCTTGCAGCCAGCTGCCGCACCGGCTCCATCACGCTGACTGTGAGCCAGCTCTTTAAATCACTGGATTGGGGATGTGTTTTTGAGTTCTTTCCAAAATCAATTAATCTCGTCTTGGCCCTACTCCCTCCCCCATCCTCTCCTCACCTTCCTTTCCTCTCTTCCCTGAAGCTTATCACCCTGCACCGTCAGTCTCTTAACATTTCTCTTCAAGGTTATGTCTGTTCACAAGAAGTGTGCTGAAAATGAAAGTGCACTTACATCGATGTTTCTCCTCGTGGAATTAAATGCCCTTTCTCAAATGCCATCGGTTGTCATGTGTGTCCTCTTCGTTTGGTGAAACTTACAAATTGCTGAAATGTATCCAGGGTTGCTTCAAACCTAAATATGTCCCTAACATAATAATAAGCCGCATCAGTTTCTGGGCTGACCTTTTAGAAATGTTTTCCTCGTTAGTATTTCCAAATGCTTGAGAAAATGAGATGTGGTCCTTCGTGAGGCCGATGGCCCCCTATTATCGTTAGAGACACACCAGCTGTGGTCGTTAAACAGGGTCAGCTCCCATTAAGCACACTGCAGACAGAAGCAGCTTGATGTAAGCAGATAAGGTAGAAAATATGAATAACGTTAGCCATTACCCTCCCACATCCTGCCACGTTACCCTGCAGCTCCGGTAGTGCAGCTGCTGCTGACACAGATAGTGGGTGGCCTCCAGGATTTGGTCTCTACTTTCATTTGGTTGATTATACTGTAAAGAAAAAATGGTCTGCAGGCAGTGTTATTCTGTTCACACACACCCCTTCTGAATCCTTTCAGTCCCTTTCTCTGAACTCTGCAGGTGAAATGGATTGAAAAGCAGTTTTACTTTGTGTGCAGTGTTGTATTTATCCTTTAGTTTTGGTCTTTTGAGACAGACTGGAATGAAAATATGAGCCCAGATTGAAGTATCTCAATAACACTGCCAACAAAGCTTTAACGCATTCAGTGAAATATCTGAGAGTTTCAAAAACTGAACGCCATAATTTGTTATAGGAATTCACGTTTCCTCGATATTGACAACTACTGATTGGTAATCCATCCAGGCTCTCACCCCATAACGGCTGAGATAGGCTTTCCACCCCTGTGACTCTGAATTTAGTAAGCAACAGAAAGTTTTGCAAGTTAGACTCACTTTTATTTTGTAGTTTGTGAGTTAAATGTTGCTGGATGGACTGCCACGAATTTCACTACATTTATGCTCCCCACAGGAAGAATACTGAGCAATAAAAATTCCTCCAGAGCATTCGTCCCTTGAGGTCACAGTCTACTTGTTTTTGGACTTGTAGTCAGACATTTGGGCCAGCTTTGTTGTACTTTAATCAGCCAACCAGAAGCAAGAGGTAGATCTGAGGGAGAACCAAAAGTTTTTACTTGCCAATCACAGGGTAGCCTCACCCTAATGCTGCTTTAGCATCTATTTACTGTGACTGTTTAGTATTAAATAGTGACGTCATTTTCTCACATTTATAAGAGAAAGGACGTTTTTTTGCACTTCTTTCAGAGTTCACCCTGTTGGATGTTATTAGGAATGTGAATTTAAGGCTTTTTTGCACTGGCTTCTCTTTTCAGCTCCAAAAGCATCTTTTGTGTACAGTTTTTGTTCCAGTGGCTGAAATGTATACATTACCTGCTTAATGTTTACAATTTGTTCTAGTACTCCAACCACATGCAGTGAATCTTTGCATTGCCACGTTTCCCTGTTGTGATGTGAAATAAGTGTATCAACGGAAAACAGTTGAGCTTTTAAAATGAGTTTTGAGCATGTTAGCATGTAGCTCAAAAACCTGCGATACCTTAGCTCATCACTAAGAACCAGAATCAGAAAAGATAAAGTACAAATATTCCTCACCTGTTTTTTTTCCAGTGCATCATTATTCGTTCCGATTAAATGCACCATCTGGGTGATATTTGTGCCCTCCTACAGATGTGAGTAGCTCCATGAGCCATCGCTGTGCGTCATGTATCCATGGATACCTGAGGCAGTCGGCAGTGTTTCCATCTTTTATTCCCTCTCTCACTCGCTTCCTGAAGAATAGCTCAAGCCCTGTGACCCCATCATGGTCAAGTTCCACACTGAAAGCCTGTCAAACAGAACAATGTGCTTTGACTCATGAAAGGAACACGTGAGATATACTTGATGGAACTAGCAACTAGTTACTAAGATCATAACCCTGTGAGGGTTTTTTAGGGCCCGAGCACTAAAAGTGTGAAGGCCAAATTGTATCTGCTCCCCTTATTATCATTACTTGGGCAAATGAATCGCCTCTTTGAGGGTCTGAAGACACTTGAAAGCGCATGAAATTTTGCCCACATGTCAGGCCTGGTGAAAATTCACGTATAGAGAGGACGAAATGGCTCCACAGCGTCACCTATGAAAGTATGAACCAGCACACAGACTGATCTATTTGAATGAAATTTCTTACAGAGGTCCAACAACCCACGATGTACGAAAGGTCAATGATCTATGATGTTTGGTCTATGATCCAAACATGACAGGAAGTCCACCATTTTTACTTTACTGTGCCATCTTGGAGATTTGCTGATGTTATACCTTTTCAAAATCCTTGGGATTTTATCAAATCAACTTCACATTTCAATCTAAACCAAAGACGCTGGTGAATATAAATTGCAAAGCTTTTGAGGTTTCACTGAAGCGTGTGTCCGCAGAATCATTTTGATCATTTGCCATGAAATTTTAATTTGCTATCTTTCACACATACACTATCCAGTCTGGATCAAACTTCTCTAGTGCATCATATTTCATACATGAGTTTTTGAGGCTTCTACGTCATCAGTGTGATTTTTCTTTCCCACCAAAAAACTGAAATAAATTGCATAGTACACTTTTAAGGAATATATTCCCCCCCAAAAAAGCCTGATTTAGGAAATCAGAATCAGAGAGACTTTATTAATCCCATAGGGAAATTGAGTTGTCATAGCAACTAATATACAGCAAACATCAAACACTCATATAAAATGAAGTCTAGAAACAAAGATATTGATAGATAAATATTAAAATAAACATATATATATATACACAAGGACAAGTATGTGTGAAAAGGGAAATATGATACAACTTAAAACGTATATGTGCA